TCCGTTGAACTTGATCTACATATTCTAAAATCCCAACACACCAAGTTTGGGGTGAATCCGTCGTCGTTTGACCCTCCATTGAGCCATGTAAAAAGTTCTATTCATTCAAAACCGTTAAAATTGATACGAGTGGATTGATCTACATATTCTAAAACCCCAACAAACTAAGTTTGGGGTAAACCCATCATCGTTTGACCCTTCGTCGAGCCATGTGAAAAGTTTTATTCATTCGAAACAGTTAAAATTGATACGAGTGGATGAAGGGTCAAACGACGACGGGTTCACCCAAAACATGGTGTGTTGGGGTTTTAGAATATGTAGATCAAGTTCAACGGAGCGGATCATTCACAATGTAGCTCAATCATGTGATTTAAAACCGCGTCCTTAGATGATTATCTAAGGTATCACCTTAGGAACACTTCTCCATATATATATATATATATATATATATAGAGAGAGAGAGAGAGAGAGGAATATGGGTATACTTGGTACCAAGCACAAAATTTATGCTTAGTAGTAAGGTGACATATTATCCTCCACTCATTCAAATGGGGGATCACATTCACATGGGTTGAATGTGGTCCCCCCAATTAAATGAGTGGATGAGAATGAGACACCTCACTACCAAGCACAAAATTTATGCTTGGTACCAATCATACCCATTTTTCTCATATATATATATATATATATATATATGGAAATTTACATGTTATCTTCTGGAGGTTTTTCTTTAATAGAAATATATATGTGGCTTGTTTTATAATATTTTGAGTATTACCGTATTAAGTTTGCAATTTGACTTGAATGTTTCATCTGCTGTCTCAATTGAAAGCCTTGCCTACTTCTGTTCATACATACATGTACTTCATAAGCTCTGCTTACATCACATAGAGCAGGCTAAGAAGCGTGTTTATTTAAAACAGTACTGAATTTTTCTTCAGATACCCAAAGGCAATTGAGATATTTGAAGCAATAGCACGTCAATCGATCAGCAACAATCTTCTTAAGTACAGTGTTAAGGGCATTCTCCTTAATGCTGGCATATGTCAACTATGCAGAGGAGATGTTGTAGGAATTACTAATGCATTAGAGCGATATCAGGTAAACTGCTGCGGTGTACTATAATGACTGACTGATGCCTCTGAAAATTTAAAAAGAACCTAAAATTTCTTGCATTTGGCTGTGCAGGAACTTGATCCAACCTTTTCAGGGACACGTGAATACAAACTTTTGGCTGTAAGCTTTTCTTTAAGAGACTGAATTATTTTTACTGTGCTTTTCTACTAATGCTTTGCTTACAGAAGGGTATTAATGTTTGTACATTAAGGATAGATTTCGCACTGAATATTTACCCTTATAAGGCACCTTGATCATTACACTATTGACATATGCAAATAAATATGACATCTTTGTCAGCATGACACATGTTTTTAGATATTGAAAGTCATATATTTGGCAGGATTTAGCTGCAGCAATGGACGAGGAGGATGTTGGGAAGTTCACTGATTGCATCAAAGAATTTGATAGTATGACACGGCTGGTATATTTTCTACAATAATGCCTTATCTATATATTTTCATTTCTTTGTTGCCTTACATGCTTTGTTTTCGGTATTTTGATGCAAAGTTTTGCTTTAGATCGATATAATATATTATATTCATCTTGTCAGAATCATGAGAAAGTAAAATACAAAATAGACTAATGGTTGTAAGATATCTTGGAGCTCTTTTATTGAGGGCATTTTTTGTGTACTTATTTTGCAACTTAGAGTGGTAAGAATTGTAGCTAAACCCAAAGAGCAAGCAGCTTCTTTTACTGATCATTCAGTTTATTGCACGTTTTAGCTTGTCATCGATAATAAATTTGAAGTTTTATAATTTTTAAGAAATGTCTTGTACTAGCAGAACCGATATAGGTTCTTTTTTATGCGGGAATAGTGAATACTCTCTGTTTGGCTCTTTGGCTGACCTATGCCCTAAAAGTGAGTGTAGTTTCTGTTGCAAATTTATCATTCTTTGAAGCCTTCCCTTCTTATCAACTGCATTTTTGTTAAGGAGAATTTTGGAGGATTGCTCTTTGGTTGGAATTCCTATGTGCATAAATTGCTTGACTCATAGGATAGGTTTTCTTACATCAACCGGCTTTATTTATCACCTTTTTTTTCATAATCTTGAGTATAGATGAGACTGTTTCTTCCTATTATGCCTGAGATATCAATATCTCTCTATAGAAAACCTTTTTTCTCTTCCTGTCACAGTCTGCAGAATGTTTTGCTTGATTGGATTAACTTCTCCTGTTCTTCCCATAACATGTGCTCAACTGCCTGTCGCCTGGCAAACATTCTTAGGTTTTCCCGTAATTTGATCTAGCATTACCTGCTTGTTGGCCAAGAAGTTAATCAGCTAACACCAATTCATAGTTAACTAGTATCACATTTAACAGTCTTCAGGACATGTGAACCCTCTCTCGGACTCTTGACTGAGTCCTTCATAGGCAAACCCGTTGGGTTTGAACGACCATGTATATGCGACCTTAGCACATTATTTTTGGCATGTCATGGGATCCTGAAATAACTTCGGTTTTCAGTTTTCTTTATTTGTCCTACTAAGTTTTCAGTGCACTACAAGTCCCGGTGTTGAAACCCAAAAAATTAAATTTCTTGGAGATACAACATTTATTAGGTTTGTGTATTTTCTAAGGATGCCTGTGGGCACCAGTTAGGGGATGAGAATTATAGAGAGAAGTGAATAGCAAGTGAGTCCCCTGATTTGCATTAATTTCTCGGTTTTCAGTTTTCTTTATTTGTCCTACTAAGTTTTCAGTGCACTACAAGTCCCGGTGTTGAAACCCAAAAAATTAAATTTCTTGGAGATACAACATTTATTAGGTTTGTGTATTTTCTAAGGATGCCTGTGGGCACCAGTTAGGGGATGAGAATTATAGAGAGAAGTGAATAGCAAGTGAGTCCCCTGATTTGCATTAATTTCTAGGATCCTTGGAAAACAACACTCCTGCTCAGAGCAAAGAATGCGCTCAAAGCCAAGGAAGATGAAGAGGATGATCTTACCTAGAGAGCTCACTGGGAGCTGAAGTATTTGTGGTGCTATTTCATTTGTTTTACTCCATTAGTGGCGCTTATTCGTATAGTATCGGTTTGTGTAATTACTGCATGCATATGAGAGTTATTCCTATGATTTGAGAAGGGATTTAGGCGATTTCGATTTGCGTGAATGTGTTCTCCCCCCTCCCTCACCCTTCTTTTACAAGTGCCTATCAGTTGTTGATGACGGCCATTAACATCAATAAGGGGAGTGTATTTGGGTGAAATTTATCTACGTGTGCTTTTTTGATAAAGAAAAGAACCGCAACTTTCAGCATCAGGGGATTTGCTTGCACTTAAAATCACTTATCTTTTCTTAATAAAAAATTTTTAACTTAGTTTTACATGTGAGATTGTTGAAGGCTGAAGGGTACCACTTGCTACTTTTGCGTGTCCACGTATCTTCGTTTCACAGTTTTGACACAAAATAAATGCTTCAAACAAATTCAAGTACTTCGTAATATTCAGATTAAACTACGAGTGATAGAAATCGTGTTACGTTTAGACAAGGAACAATTTTTTTTTTTTTTTACTTTGGAAGTGTTAATTTTAATTTTATTTACGGAAAATATTATACATGTGATGATGACAAGCGGGCAACAAGCTGCGCCGCTAATCCTTTCTGAATTGCAAAACCCAACCGACGAAACACGTAGTCAGCTGATCCTGCTGTAGCCACATTCCTATTCATAAATTTTTGTACCCTCCTAAGGAACTCCGCTGCATCAGCTGCAAGATAACCAAACGTATGCAGCTGCAAGATAACCAAACGTATCGAACGCGAACGGGATGCAACTGTGGTGATTGTCCTTGCCTATATTGTGCAGAGCGCTTGGTGCTGATTTGTCTTTTTATCGACCTTGCAAGTGTTTTTACATGCCTACATGTGAGCTACAAACATGAACATAATCTTAGAATACCGCAAGCTTAATGCATAATTAGCCTCCGACATAACTACCAAAACATTGGATATAAACAACTTCCACCTCTCCTCGCAATTCAATTTCACCTCCGTAACGAGCCACAAAATTTTAGTAATAGGAAAGCCTACACCCGAAACAACCTATGATCATCCTTAATCCTCTATAATACCCATTAATAACTACATACCCCCCCAAAAAAAAATTCCCTCCTCGTAGCAACCTAAACATTTAATGCCTATATAAACACAACAAATTCGGTCATCCTCGATCTCCTCTCAAAAAAAAAAAAAAAAAAAAAAAA